ATCTTCTTTAACTGTATCGAGGCTCAGAATGTGTGGAGACTAGCACCATTGAACTAGGATGGACTGTAGACGAAACACTCAGACATTAGATTATGGTGGTGGGCTATCTATTTGCTGGATAGGAAGCCAATTTTAGAGGACAGAATTTAATTGACCACATATTTACTTTGGTGGCTTTGGAAGTCCGGAAACTTGTGGAAGTTTCAAAACACCCTCATGCCTGAAGCTACAGCGGTGAGTGCAGCTTTAAAGGAGTGGAAAGAATATTCTAGGAAAAAGAGAGCAAATTGAAGCAGAGATTAAGGTTGGAATTGGTAGGTCTCAGTTTGGTTCAGTGGTGATAACTCCTTGATGTTTCTGTAGGTAGCTCCCTTTCTCGTTTTATGTTTTTAGTTAGGTTGTTTGGTTTCCTGTTAGACTAAAGGGTTCAACATTGTTCTGCTACCTTTGGTTTTGGCTTAGTTCCTTATGACTGTTTCTTGTGGTTTATGTCGCTTAGAGTGTTGTTGGTTGGTTTGCTGGTTTGGTCTAGGGCATTTGTGGTAGGACCCTCTTGTATTGGCTTCTTTGTTATTAGGGCTAGTAAGCCCTTTGGTTGTAAGACTTTTATTTGTTTGCAATGAGATTTCATCTATCATTTTGAAAAAAAGAAAAAAAAAGAAAATATTTGTCCCTTTTCTTTTCTTAGATTGATTTAAGGATCTTTTTATGGAGATGAGATTGTTTTGGCCTTTTTGGACAAGCATGATCGTTTGGCATCATTGGATTTAATTAATTTATACATTTTATTATTTATTATTATTTGTTCTAGATTTGGTAGGAAGTATATTTAATTATAGGAATAATATTTATCCTAGTACTTTTCTTGGTAGATAAGTTATTTCTTTAGGGTTGATAAGAGATCTATTTAAGACCCATATTCTTTTGTTTGAAAGGATTTGAATTTTTATTTAAATAAAAATAATTAAGAGTTTTCTCTTGATTCTCTCAACCTTTTACGCTTTCGCTACGTTGGTTGGTATCAGAGACCCGTACGATTTCTACATGATCTTGCCCAAAAAAAACGCCGCCGCAGACGACAGACGCGACGTCATGATCGAAGCGTAGGGCGCTAAGTCGTGGATCTGACCGCTGGGCTCAACGACATGAGGGTGGCCCTACAAGCTGCTGCACACGGCATTCGTACAAACCGCGCATCGGACGGAGTACTTGGCGGCCACTGGGGTGGAGAGGGTGGCTCGCGATGGACGCAGTCGAGGTACTCGCGGGGAGCCCTGCTCTCGATCGCCTTAGTAATTATTTGACGATGATGATCTTGAAGACATCGTTTCTGAGGTAAATTTGTTCTATATGATGGCGGTGCGGGATGAGGGCTGGTTCGCTGATGATCGATGTTCAATGTCATCATTGAGGGTCGAGATCCCTGAATTTTCAGGGGCTCTTGAGGATGAGCAGGGGTCGATCGGATATGAGGTCTAGCTCTTTTTTCATGACGAAGAGTGAACCGTATATGAGGGTCTGCCTCTTTTTTATGACGAGGAGTCACCCGAATATGACGGTCCGCCTCTTTATTATGACGAGTGGTCCCCGAATATGAGGGCGCGCCTCAATTTGAGGACGAGGTTCTCGACACTATAACGTACGCTGCTACAATGGATAAGTTTTTGCCCATTGGAAAAGCAGAGGGGATGGTGGTTGACAAATTGGCGGGCAATCCCGGAGGATATGCAAGAGAGTTTCCTCATGAGATGGACATTTGTGGTAGCTCACCGTCGAGGATAAGTGCCGACGTCCTCGTTCAACGTTCGTCATAAGACGTCCTTTAAAACCAGCCAAAGGAATTGACGGATGCGTTGCGGGTCGGGCCATCGCCAAACAGCTTGCCACGGTCCTCGATCGTCTCTCTCTTCTCCCGTGATGAAATGATAGGCCGAGCCAGTTGTACACTTGTCGTTCTCCGAGAGCGCCCAATAAAGCCAATCGTTTCCCAGGTCCGAGCGAGGCGGCGATACTGCTGTGATTTTTAGTAGAGCCGAAGGCGGGAGCAATCGTTCGAAAGAGTGCCAGTGCCAACCATGGGTATCAGAGACATAAGCCTTAACCGACAGCTCCATAGCCTCCGATGGGATCAGCAAAATAGCAACGTCGTGCAACCTGCCCAGTCCCGGAACCCAAGTGTCCAGCCAAAAATGCGTTGTCTCCCCATTGCACACCACCCATTTGGAACTCGCCGAAACATAGTGCCAAACCTTCCGAGTAGTTTGTATGATGTTTGAGGCGGGCAAAGTGCGGCTACAAGAAGTAAACGGTCTGGGCCATATTTGGCTTTCCAAGTGCGGACCCATAGAGGGCTTCGTCACAAAACCCTAGGCCAGCTTCGTCAAAAGAGCCTCGTTCATCTTCCGTTGAGATTTCATTCCCAGACCACCAACACGCCGAGGTTTGCAAATCTCCGCCCATTTAACCAGGCTCAGCTTGCGACGGTCGACAGTCCCTCCCCAAATGAAACGTCTACAAAGCTTTTCAATTCCGGCACATACAAAGTTCGGGACCCACGCAGATTGCATAGTGTAAAGTGGGAGCGAGCTCACTGCTGATTGTGCAAGGACTAAGCGACCCGCCAGTGAGAGAGATGAGGCCTTCCAACCCGATAGTCTCGACTCGGCCTTTTCTAAAATATGAGCATAGGTCCGTTTATCCACCCGTCCGTGAAGAAGCAGAACCCCTAAGTATTTCCCAAGGTTATCAACGAGCGAGAAACCCAATCCGCTTGCCAGCTCCTCTCGAGTAGTAGGGTGGACATTTTTTGAGAAAAATGCGGTGGTCTTCGGCTCACTTATCTTCAAACCAGATTCGTCACAAAAAAAGCCCAATACACGCTTCAGAATACCAACTTGGCTGTTACCTGCCTCCAAGAAAAGACAAAGGTCATCCGCAAATAATAAATAGGGTATTTTTAAGGACCCTCTACCCAAGGACATTGGTTTCAATTTCCATTGTTGACCTCTCTCTGAACAGAATGGGCCAGTCGTTCGATGCATAAAACGAACAGGTACGGTGGGATGGGATCCCGTTGCCTCACCCCCCGAGAGGGTTGAAATTCTTGACTAGGAGAGCCGTTCCATAGGATTTGCATTGAGGACGAAGAGACACACTTCATAATATTAGCAGTATATAGAGGCGGGAGGCCGGCAACTACAAAAGTCGCTTCCACAAAATCCCACCACAAGAAGTCATAAGCTTTTTCTAGGTCCACCTTCACCACCATATAGCCTTTAGGTCCGGTTTTAATATGCATAGAGTGGATCAGTTCTTGGGCTACAATGATGTTGTCAGTGATGTGACGTTTGGGGACGAAACTCACATGGGTTGAGCCAAATAAAAGCGGGAGCGCCGGTTTCAAGCGGTTGGTCAACACCTTAGTCACCAATTTATAGATCACGTTAAGGAGACTAATGGGCCGAAAATGTCTGAGGGTCTCAGGATGCTCAACTTTTGGGATGAGAACGATGAGGGTTTTATTGATCTCGGACGGCATCTCACCCCCGCCCAGGATTTGTTTAATGAGGTGGCACACCGATGGGCCGACTAATTCCCACTGGCTTTGAAAGAAGAAGGCGTTCAGCCCGTCGAGGCCTGGCGACTTAAGGGGCCCCATCTCCTTCAGTGCTTCGACAATCTCAACATCCAACACTTCCCGGTCAAGGGATGCAGCTTTCTCGGGGGACAATCGGGAAGTGCGAGAGGATAAGCTAGGAGGGGGGATGACCAACCTCATCTGTAAAGATATTGCGGAAGTAATCCACCGCTATCGACTGTAGGGTGACAGGGTCGTCGATCGTGTGTCCTAACTCATCCTTCAGCGACACAATTTTATTGCGATGTCTCCGAAATTTTACATGCCTATGGAAGAAGGCGGTATTTTTATCCCCAAAAAGTGTCCAATCACGTTTTGATTTTTGGATCATAAGGAGTTCTTCTTGCAAAAGGATATCATCGAACTCCTTATTAAGACGTTGACCCAACTCGAGAAGGTGATTAGAATGGCGGTGTTGCAGAGCTCTCTGGATCCCACCAATGCAAAAAAATAATTGTTTCTTCTTCTTAAAAATATTTCCAAAAACCTCATGATTCCACACCTTCGTCGTGTCTGCAAACACTCTTGAAGCTTCATCAAAATTTCGTCCAGCCTCAAAACAATCAGAGACCACGTCTCTAAAGCCATCACGCAAAAGCCACAGAGCCAAAAATTGGAACGGCTTAGGGCCTACATTGCTGGGTCAGCGGGACAAACATCGAACTACGAGTGGGGTGTGGTCTGAGTGTAGTCTTGCAGGGTGAGCGACTAATGCATCCGGGAATGTAGCCATCCATTCCTCGTTGCACAAAAACCGGTCTAGTTTTTTCGACAGGCCTCCACGGAACCATGTAAAGGGAGTCCCATCTGTTCTGACTTCATGAAGGTTACCATAAAAAATGAAGTCAGAAAAGCACGGACACGGCCGCCCTCCGCTACTCGCGCCACCAGACTGCTCTGCTGGCTTCCGAATACAGTTCCAGTCACCCCCTAAGAGCCAAGGGCCCGAAATAGTATGGGATAGGTCCTCCAGCGTGGGCCACAAGTCACGACGTCCCCGAGAGTTCGGAGACACGTAGATGAAAGTGACAGCAGCTTCAACTTTGTTAATGACTATACGGAGGTGAATGAATTGTTTATGACAGAGAAGAACCGTCACCTCAACACTCTCATTCCATAGTATCCAAATTCCACCGGAGTAACCATTTGACTCTACCCGAAAAGAACGAGGGAAGCCACTCCGGCGAATAAAACTATCAGCTTTTTTCCCATTGATCCTTGGTTCAAAAATTGCCGCAACCTCAAGTCGGGACTGAATAATAGTTGTAGAGGAGGCTCCAGAAAACCGGTTGGAACCTGCCCCTTTAACATTCCAGGCTAATAAATTCATGGAAAAACAAGTAAGGAAGAAGAGTCCAGAGGGTCAGCAGTAGCCAGCATCGGCAGTATCCAAAGCCATGACCAAAGTGTCCTCATTCATGGTGACGTCTCGTTCCGCCTCCAGAAGGGCCTCGTTAGGTGGTTCCTTCGGATGATCACTACCATTCGGGGTGCCAATGTCGGGTCCGTGTCTGCCTTTCGAAGGATTACCACTGCGCGGGTGAACATCCACAAACTGAACCGCTCTATGCTTCGAGGGGTCTAGCTCGCTTGAGACCGGGACTAGAACTTTGTTATTTCCCCCCACTTTGTTACTCGTTGTACCTAGGTGCCATGCGTTATCCAAGTCCCCGGTTTGTGACCCGTTTATAGCCCCCTCAGACCGAATGTTGTCCAGGCCGCAGTCTCGAGAGAACCCGTATCCATGTCCTTAGAGCCTAAGTGCTGGCCCACTCTCCCCAAAGTGGCTGTTGTGTTGCTCCTGGGCTTCTCCTGCCTAGTCTTTTTTGTCCATACTTTCTCCCCATGGACCCTTGCAGTAGTATTGAAAGTGAAGTTCCCAGATGGAGCCAAACCATCCTTCATATTGAACACAAATTATTCAGCATGTAAAAGTTGTTACAGAGTAGTTTTATGTTTCTACTTTCTTTGGTTTGGATATTTGCACAATCAATCATACAAGGCGTTTATTATTATTGTTTTTTTAATGTGTAAAAGCATGACACAGTTTTTTAACTACTATGAGGGGACACAACTAGAGTGGAAAAATGGAAGCATGACGTATCTGTTTGCTCGTCTCTGTGTGTGAACTTCAAAAGGCTGGCACCATGAATACCCGACTGCATTTTCCTTTTCCATTTTATACCTCTTTCCCGTATGCCAAACACAACACAAAGCCCATTATAGAACAGAATAAAGCATTAATTCTTGGGAAATTTGCCAAAATGGTCCTGTATGTTTCCTGTTTTCCCAAAATATTCCTTTCAACTGACGAAGTCCCAAAGTCAGTCCCCTTAATTTGTCTCAAATTTTGCACAATTGGACCAGTGTTGAGACATATCATACACTAGTTTGACACAAGAAACTTACATGCTTAGGGAGTATCATAGTATCTTTCAAAAGGCAGTAAAGAATTTTCACTACACTATCCAAAGAACAACAAGGATAACAAGAGTAGAATCATCTTTAGTTCTTTACAGAAAGTTAAAAGATCAGATGAGGTTTTGTTCACAAAAAAGAGACCTAATCCAGTCCCTCTTTTGGTGGTCCCAAGAGAAAACCACCTGTCAAAATCATAGTACAACAAATATGCTAGTTTAGATTTATGATCAAGTTACTACTACAATTCTCAAGTCCAATTGGATATATGTACACAAAACAAGAAAAAGAACAAAACAACAAAAAACGAAATAAAGCTAGTGGTAGCTTAACTGCCAAGTACATTCATCTAACAAGAAACCTAATCATTTTTTCACTTGCATCCACTGAAAGCAAAACCAAGATTTCCAAAGCATGGTTGTTAGGCAATCAGTTCCTGCCATCAACACATTCTATAGTCTATAGTCTATACAACACTCCAAAAAAAAAAAAAANTTGAAATTTCTTCATCCCCAATCAAAAAATAAAAAAAAAATAAAAAAAAAACACTTTTTTTCAGATGAAGCTGCCTCAAACTCACATAATCGGAGGAGACGGCGTCTCCCACACATCGAACACGTTTTCCTCACTGTGGAGCGCGAAAAGCCTATCCCCACCGATCGAGAAATCGCAAATCGAGCCCCCATAGCTATTCCTCAGCCTCGACGTGAGCACCCAGTCGGGCCCACAGAAAACCGACACGCAATCGTTCATCGACGAAAACAGCTGCCCTCCGCTCAACGCCAGCTTCGGATAACACGTCTCATCCGGCATCTTCCCCTTCATCACCCGACTCCTCGAACTCCACCTAATCACCCCACCCGCCCTCCTCAAATCCATAAACCCCAAATCCTCATACTCATTCACAACACAAACCGAACTCATCTCCTCCATGGCTATCGCGTCCCGAACCCTCCTATCCTCACTCCCAACTGCCCCCACATCACTCCACGACCAAACCATGCTCTTCTCCCTAAAATCGAGCAAACTAATGTAACAATTATCTTTCCTCGGAAAAAGAGTCGCCACAAGCAAACAGTTTGCTCCGTCGAGCCACTGCAGCCTGTCGGCCTCACCGAGCGACCATCCGCTCGGCTCGTAAAAGAAATCCACCTGTCTACCGGTCACTCGGTCCCAAACCCCTATCCCGTACTCGTTACTCCTCCCTTTACAGCTCGCGAAAATCTTATAATCCGAGTTGAAACTAAGCGCGCCGCCAGTGAAGCTCTTGACTCGATTTCCATGCGCGACGCGGAATTTACACCTCAACTCGCCGTCAGACGAGCCGAAAAGCCCAATTCCGCCGTCGTCGGATCTCCCGAGACGCTCGCACGCGCTGACCGCGATATTTTCCGAGTCGACCCAAACGACGTCGTTAACCCTCTGATAGTCGAGGTTTATCGGCGGGTGCTCGTCGAGCATCCAGTCGTAGACGTGGACCACGCTGCCGTGGGCCACGCAGCAGCCGCCGTCGGGCCCGGCCCGAATAGCGGTGCCGTCACCGGGGGCCCGGCCCGGGACTGAGGCGGAGAGGCGGAGGGCGTTTCCATCAAACGGGCCCCAGCTGGCAGCCCGAACGTGGGTTAGGAGGCCGTAGTAGAGGGCTTCGCGGTAGAGGAGTTTTTCGGGGAGGTTTGGGGGGATGTGGAGGCCGCCAGTTCTGAGGAGGTCGAGGAGGACGGCGAAGCAGTCGGGGTTTCGGTCGATAAAGTGGTGGTGGTCGGGTGAGGGTGAGGGGAGGAGGTTCCAGTTGGAGTCGAGTAGGGCTCCGAATAGGGAGTCGCGGCCCGCGTTCGCGAGTGTGGTGGCGGTGGTCTCGAAGATGCGGCCGCTGACGTTGAATTTGACGCGGTCCCTCTGGGGACCCATGCTGGATGTTTTTGGGATGAGAAAAAAGGGTGTTTGTTTGAGATATTGGAAATTAGGGGACGGAGGAGAAGGGGGGAATTAATTCCGAATTCGGAGATTTTAAATATTCATCCGGAAATTGTGTTGTATGCCGACTGGGAATGGAATTAAGCTATAGCATAAAAGGATTTCAAACGAGAAGTATTCAATTGAACGCACTGCAATCCGAAGTCAAACAACTGAATGTAAGGAAGAGATTGACAGAGGATCATGTAGCGAAAAGTCGAAACAAAGCGCGTATGTACACAAACACAAAGAGAAGATCAAACAAGGTTTTTTCTGCGGCGATAAATGAAAATCTGCAAATCCGATATCAAAGAGTGAGGATTAAGAAATCTAATCAATAAACTCATGGAAATCCATAAACCAGCTGATAGAAAAAGAGCAGGGCAGCGTACCAGGTAGAGCAAAACCAACAGATAGATATCCAGATAAGACGATGAACACGCCTGTGAAGGAAGTTAAGGTTTCAGAAATCGGTTTGAATGATTGTTGAATTTGGTAGGATTAAAGGAGAAGGAGAAGAAGGAGAAAATTGGGAGCGGTTGAGTTTTCAAAATTGACTCTGGGTTTCTCTATCTTTTTTATGAATTCTGGAACTTGACTATTCTTTATTGTTTAATCTTTTCTTTTTAGAAAAACATATATGTATCAATTGGTCTGCAAGATGGACCCCAGTTCATGGAGTAGTGTATTAACTTTAGTTTCTAGCCGTCAAGATTATCTGGAACTTTTATCGACGGCATGGGGCATAATAGCTTCTTTTTTAATTGAATTTTGGGCTGGTGGTTGTGTTAGAGCATCTGCTCTACCATTTACATCGAAAAATTGATGCTACATGGTATAATATAATTGGTACTATTTAATGAATGTCAAATTAATGTACTTAATATTGACGTAAAATATGGAACAATTTCTTGTTTTTAGATGTCTTGACTATTTAAAATTAAATTTAATTAATAAATGGTTTAATGTCTCAACTATGATAAACACTCATTATTTAATGATTTGACACGTGTACATAAGTTGTGACTCATTTTCTTTTAATATAAATAATTAAAAGTACGAGACGTTTGTACTTGACAGGTATTTTTATAAAATTTTATTTTATTTTTTATTAAAGATTTTATTTTTTATTTAATTTTCATAATTTATACTTTACAAATTAAAATAATTAGAAATGTTCGTATGCTTCTACCCTGATTTTATAAAAAATTTTATCTTAAATTTTGTACATAAAATAATTAGATATAAAATACTTTAAAAACGTGCGAGTAACACACAAACATTCTTCATAATAAATAAATAACAACATGTTTGTAGAATATTTTTATTTCATTTTCTACAACAACAAATTAAATTTAATAACAGTGAAATTAGATATAATAGGTTTTAAAAACATGCGCGTGAATAAATAAATACATAACATCATGTTTGTCGAATATTTTTTGATTCATTTTCTACAAGTTGAAAAATCTAAAACATATGATCATGATTAAATTAATCGATTAAACAAATAGTATTATATATATATATATATACAANNNCNNNTNGTATTATATATATATATATATATATATATATATATATATATTTTTATGCAATATATAGTTAATTATTTTATACTATTTATGTTCATAAAATATTTTATAGGTAAATTCCTTTGAATTTTCTCGAGCAGTCTTCTCCCTCAATTGCCTGCGAAAACCCTCATATCGATTGGAAACTTGGCACAATTTTTTTCCCACGTTTTCTTAAGATTTTGGCACGTTTTCTTATGATGTTTGCACGATTCTGCTGGTCACGCTGTTACGGTGACTTTCTACTCCCACACAGTGGATGAGAAAGTGGTCATGCCACGTCAAAAAAATATGAGCCAGAGCATTGGAGAAAAAAAAATAAAGACGATGTTTAAAATTATGTGGTATATATTTTTTGGACTCAACAGTCCCGCACTGGAGATGCTCTTAGACATGACCATTTTTCGGATAGGCCCGCTAATATCTACAGGTGGGTTCAATGAATTGGCGGTTCACGGTTCAGAATCAGTCCGCCGATTCAGAAATGAACCGTATCCGACAAATTTTTGAAGATAAAGAAATGGAGGGGACGGTGGGGTGCTTACAAAAATTGAACTTTAGCTTAGTTGATATATTATAAGTTAAAATTTCGATTAAATTTAAGAACTTTTTTGGTTAAAAAATAATATTTTAACTTATAATATGTCAATTAGAATGTCTATTATATCTTACCTTAGGAATCAAAGTTGTCCCTGATGAAAGAAGATAACAGAATGCGTTGAACACTCTAGTAATCGTAGGTTTTCTGAGTCGTCTTCGGTTCGGTGGTTCCACTAGGACTAGTAAAATCTAATGCCTCTTCTTTTTCATCCTCTTCGATATTTAGCATGGTCGTTTGTACTCTTCGTTCGGCCTTCTTCCAATCACTAAGAAGCATTTGAGCCTCCAAGTTTTGTGGCATCAATCTCGATCATCGTCCGTCCAGTTTATATCCTCCCTCACTAAATACTTGTTCAACTATAACTATTAAGGTCAGGACAGCGATAATCTCCTTGGCCATCAAGCATAGAACATGATAAATGGTACTCATTTCTACCACCAATCCAAGACATCGAATACTAGCGGTGCGACTGGTGATCTGGCCATCGTAAGTATCATATTCTAGATGAGTAGTGATCGAGTTCATCGTATCCAGTCCCCATTGCTCTTTGGATCTTAGCATTCTTGTAGGGATTATAATTTGACCACTAGTCACCAAAGTTTGAGGCTTGCGGCATTGTTTATGATAATGGGAATAAGAAGAAGACCCAAAATCATGAGAAAAAAAAATGACGCTGATTTTCCTCGAGTTCGATTGTTGTTTCCTTAAGCAATTCATACAATAAAACTTCTTCTTGCTCGACGAGAAGTAATGGGTTAGGTCTTTTAGTGCCAGCAATAACAATATAGAAAAGTGAGAGTAGATACATAATATCATAATATGTGTGTAGTTGGCTGAGAAAACCACTTTCACGTAATGATGTATCTAACAAACATGCAAACAAAAATGTATCAGGAATGTAACAATTATATTTAACTATTTCTTTAACATATCTCATACAAGCTTTATGTGTCTCTCAGGATCACTAGCAAAAAAATCTTTAAAACCCCACATTACACATACAAATTGAGCTAAGACAAGTTGAGCAGTAGGATAGTGCACACCAAAAAGTATTTTTACAATTTGTCCAATCATCATACTGACTGTGACATTCCATTCATGACGTTCATGACTCCTAAAATAAGATTCTAATTGAAGAACAAATTCACACATTTTGTTAACATTTAAAAGTTGAGTTCCGCCGAATAAGAATGTCCGACTGGAATATTTTAGGGTGTAAAACCTTCATATTTACAATATTTTTGCCATTTTGTTGATTTCATGAGGACGACAATGTAAGTACATAAGGGTCTCCCTATTGGGTGTAACTGGCTCTTCCAAAGCATGATAACTCGCTTGAACACAAAGATTAAAGACATGACGAATATATCAAATATGAAAAAAAAAATAAAAAAAAAAACCACAAAGAAGACTACAAATTTCTTTAGTTCATTTAAAAAAGCAGTATTAGCACTAGCATTATCAAAAGAAATAGAAAAAACAAAGTTTTTTTTACCAATTTTATAAGTATTCAAGACACCTGAAATTAAACGAGCTATATTAGCCACAGAGTGAGATTTATAAAATCCCACATAAGCAACTAAATGTTTTTGTAATGTAAAATTACCATCTATCCAGTGGAAATAATTTAATATTTATTTTTCCAATGATTGGATCTAATGTCACAACTGTTGGGTTTATTAGGAACGTCGACTATGTGCACATTCAAATCTATTGAAAAATAAATCCTAACACAACGGAATCTATAGTTGGATTATGACTTACGGTTTTAAATTTTTGTCGACTCTGATTTCTTCAATAGGAGATCGTCTAAACCGCAGAGTCCGCTGGCAGCCAAACTTGGCCTCGTCATCGCGCTCCAGTTGCTCGTCAGGCTCGCTGGACTGTCTCAGACCTTTGGTAGGTTAGTAGGGTCGTCCGGACTGCTCGGGAACTGCCTTGGACTTGAACTGGGGATGCTGGACCGAGCTTGGCCATATTGGTGCTCGTTGGCCGCGTCTAGACCAGTCTGAAGCTGCCTGGGCTCACTGGACTGCACCTGGGATGCTCTGACACGAGTCGGGCTACCTTTCACGTCGCTGAGCCGCGCTAACACGGAGTTGGGCTGAAGAGACTCTGCAATTGGGCCTGTGAAGCGCGTTGTAGCATTAGATTGGACGCGGGTCAGGATCGGGCCTCTCGCGAGCCAGTGGGCTGAGGCTGTGAGGAACTGTGGGCTAGACGCAGCGCGCGGGCTGAATGAGGCCTGCGTGTATTTCTTTTCTCTCCTGCTGGACTCCTCGCGAATTGGGCCTCATGCCTGATGGACTAGAGGCCTGCGTGTTGGGCCACACACTGCTGATGCCTGCTGTGCACGATGTACTCCTGGGCTTCAAGAACGGACCGCGCAAGCTGGAGGGACTGGTGGGCTTGGGCGCAGAATGGGTCGCCAGAAAAATATACTAAATTAAGGCTCAATAAATATTGTACCTTAAAGTCTTCTAATGTATGACCTAAACACCTATTCCAAAAAATTTTGGTGGGCAATTTTCCGGATCTCTCGAACTCTCTATATTTATGTTAGCTCAATTTCCTCTCTTTGGGAAGACCTTAAAATCGGCTCTCACGCATTGGGGAAGAGTTAGGGACATGTTGTATTTATAGACTACATTAGGGACCATAAGAAAGTGTTAAATATAGGCTTATCCTATTAGGTTTAGGAAACCTAATCATGTTCCATATCCTTTCCCATCTAGGATAATATTCCTCCTAACCCTAGTTACCTTCTAGAAAGCTCCATAGTCTCCTAACTCTAGTTAATATTCTAGAAAGAATATTCCTCTCCTTGGGGATCTTAATTATGGAATATAATTAATTCTTAATTCCTAAATAGAATTAAATAATAAACATTCCACTAGAGTAATATTATTGCTCTCCCCATTTAGCTCTAATTTATTCAATAAATTCGAACCTCCACTAGATTAATAAATATTGATCTAATTGATCGATTTATCTCCTTATGTTTAAGATATAACATCTTTTGATTAATTAAATTACTGATAAAAATAATTAATCAACTTTTTATATATTTTCGAAACAAGTACCACTCAGATCTTTAAACATTATGTTGGATACACATCCGCCTGCAGGGCTTGACATAATATTCTTTACTGAGCTCATTTCGGGGACGTCATCAACCCTGCGCACTGGGACATAGAGACCGTAAATAATTTATAACAACACATCATATAAACATCCTAATTTACCAAAGTACCGAGTATATCATCCTAGCTGAATAGGAATCACCCTTGGTAAATCAAATAAACAAGTAATGAATATATATGCCCGTTTTTTATTATCTTACGGATTTAGAGAACACATCAATTATTGAAAGTTTAGAATACAACTACGATCAGTGAGTCTCATAATCTTATCATTCCGCTATCCTGTTTAATACTTATCATAGTACTAGTGCGAACTTTCAGTTACAGATAAACTGAATCTGGATTCCACTACAGTCTTTTTTCAAGAGGGGCTCAATGCCTGTCTAGACTGTGAACAAATAATTTAGTCTTACAAGGAACCGATTGATAATCTTTCTGTTCAAGACACCACGAACCATAATATCTCGATGTAAGACAAGGATTATGATTGCATAAATAAATAAACTAAAAGCATATATACTTTGACCAAAACATTATTGTCAAATCAAAATGGAATTGCTAGAATCTGAAAGTAAAGCTTTTACATCATACCTAACAACAACAAATAAAAATCTTTGGTTTAAATTTTCAAAAGTTTGCGCTAAATGTGTTTATTTCTCACCCACAATATTTTGAATATCGCGAGTGAGAGTAGTACAGGGAACCCGAGATGCAGTCGGCTTTAAATCCATTTGAGCTAAGTTTTCATATATATTGGAATCACCAAAACCAAAAAGAATAGACAAAGCATAAACAAATTCAGCTAGATTACATATATGGTTTTTGTGAGAGTATTGAAATAAAGTAGAAGAATAACCTTATCCAATCCCAGATGTAGTGCTACTGCTCGGGAATTTTATTTGAGTTATGGGTGTTAGTGTTATATACTGAAAGCTTGGCTTTGCATGTTATTACACATTTGCCCTTTATGAATGAAAATCATGTTAGATTAAACAAGTTCTACGTTTTGTTGTTCTGCACTTAGATATAGTGGGTCGTCATCGGGCGAACCGAAGATCACTCTATCAGTTACTTGCGAACAAGAATAGTTGTTCACAACCTAGATGGACATGAACAACCCATCCGAACGGTTGTAGTGTCAATTGTACAGTTTGTCTTGACTGATTAGTTGCACTAGTACATTTATGTATTGAACAGGGTACCAGAGAGGAGAAGTTCATTTTATACTGATCATCATAAATGAACTAGGCCTCGGTTAATTACTGCGTTCTCTTAACTCGTAAGATATTAAACAGGCAGATATATTTAGTATATATTACTTTGATTCACTTGGGTGAGATTCAGTTTGCTGGATTAAGATACCTACTGTTTTGGGTAATATTACTATATATAGGATGTGTTGTTAGGATATTTACAGTCACCATGTGCGTTAGTTTGATGATGTCCCCAGAGTGAGTTCATGAAGGATTGTTATGCTAAACTCTGCAGGTGGAATAAATTCCGGCATAATAAGAATGTGATGAACGAGCGCTAGCTTCGTGAAATAATAATAAATTAATTAATTCTTGATTGTCAGTAATCGAATTAATTAATGGACATTATATCTTAAACGTGGAGAGGTAAATGGAGTAATTATTATTGGAGTCTCAAATGTAATTTGGGCTAGGAAAAGGGAGTGCAATAATATAATGTTGGTGACCCATTAATATTATTTAATTAATTAGAGGAGTGGGCTTGGCCCACAGTTAGTCTAATTAATTAAGGAGCCCTATTCCTAATCTCCTAAGGGTCCCTACTGTAGCTCTATATATACATCATTAAGCTCATGAGAAGAGAATCTCATCTCACATTATACACGTGAAACGCGCGCCTCTCATCTCTCTCTCTCAGTTCTCATTCGAGCTTTATCGTCTTCTTGTTGCTCCACTGGTACAAGATTGAAGAGGCGTGTATTGAATAATGCAGTAGAAGATCAATAGGTAATCGAAATCTGATAATCTTCTACATAAAATATTCCACGACGAGACCGACCCACCGGACCGCCGACCGACGAGCCAGACCCGCCGTGAAGCTGCCGGATCCGATCGCGACCAGCCGACGGCCCAACCGCGACAAACCGGCGATCCCGCGAGCCCCGTGACGTGACCCGGACGACGACCAGCCCCACACGACTCGATTCATGTGATCCCCAGACTTCCGTTCATGTGATTTGATTTGTTTGTGTGTTGTGTACGGCCATCCGAAAGATCAGCCAGATCGCCAAAATTTTAAGCCGTAAGTTCTCTACGTCAAACCTTTAGATCCGTTGCGCATAGATTTACGTTTGCTATTGAATTCGTGATTTGTACATAACGAGATCCTCACATATCCCAACAATGGGAATCCCCGTTTGGCCAGATGATGTGTTTGTATGTACCGTTGCATTGTTGCGTACCCATCGTTGGTTTTGAAAGGGTACTTTTTCTTGGCGTTGGGTGGACATTAAATGCAAATACATATAAATGTTTATCATTTTTTTTCTCATTGGGAACCTTCGTGAAATGCCTTGTGAATTTTCCAGATGTTTGGGGTTGACCCCAACCGACGACGGCGGCCGCCTGTTTAGGTTGACCCTCACCTTGAGTAGGATCGAAATCATCTTCATACGGCGACTTTTGGTTCTCCTCGTTCAGCTCGAAATGTAAGCTCTCGAGGATTTCATTAATAAATTCAAAGATATGTTTGACCTCCCTGGGCTCAATGTGATCTAATAGACCCGAAATGTCCCAGTACATAGTCAGCGCCGGCAATGGAGGTCTACCTCTACCAATTGTAGTTGCGCCTACATTTTTACGCTTTAGTGGCCGTCAAATCCATTAGCACCACCACGAGCACTCGACATTTTATAACTTGAAGAATAAAATTTGTAAAATGAAAAACAAAGGTGAAAAAAATTATAAATGAGAGAGTATGTAGAGAATTTATAGAACCGAAACCGAAATATTAGAAAATTTATTGAGTCGAAACTGAATTTATCTAGAACCGGGCACAAAATTTCAAAAATATTACTTGAAGAACTTAGAAATGTGATGCAGAAAGTGAGAGTTGGTGAATTTGGTGTGAATATTCACTAATTATTTTGGGGAGGGTGTATTTATAGATTTTTTTTAACTTCTCTAGAATTTTTAATTAATGAACCGCCGGTTTTGGGTAAGCCCGACGGCTAAAATGTTTCAAATGAATCTTTACCATTGTATCTCAAACGGTCATAATGATCCTATGGTCAGATTCAAATTCTGACCATTGGCAATTTTGGATGTACCGTTTTAGACCCAGAACTGTACTCGAAACCATTTCAATAAAAAAATAGGACCATTGGATCCCCAATGGTAAAAAAAGATCTAACGCTCTATATTTAATCTTCTAGTGGGTCTAGTACCATGTTGGTTCAGTTAAGAACGTTGGCTGATGTGCACATCCAAACACTTAACGAATTTACTCCTACCGCAGCAGAATCTAATGATAGATTGAGAACCTACGTTTCAAAATTCACAGACTCTGGGAGGTTTCTAATCATCTGAGCCACGTCGAATTATTGACCACTACCCGCCGATCGCGGAGGGATCACCGAGTCGTGCAAGTCACTGAGTGCCGCTGTCACAGGGTAGCGTTGCTGAGGAGCTACGAGTGTCTCTGGGTTGCGTCGCCGAGAAGAACGCGGAACGACTGGGGCTACTGCAGATGGCGTATGGTCGCCAGTTCCGTCTCGTCGCTGGTTGCGCCTAGGGCCACTGGTGATGTCGTCGGTGATGGTGGTCGCTGGTGGAGGTGCACGAAAAGTTTTGTGGTCGTCGAACAACTCACGGGGTTGAATATATATTTGTCGAGATAGAAAAATGTAAAGTCTGTTGATTTTCTATTATTTAATCGATCACCCTCCAATTTTCCCTGGTGGATGGCTAGTCGGATTTCCCGAACCTCACATAAACCTCACGATTTCTCTCATTCTTTTAGCTCTCGGTTTCGACCAATTTTTTAGCTTCAAGAATGAGACCTCTCTTATGTGAATTGTGCGTCTTAGAGGATAAGGACTTGGTGTGTATATTGGATAAAATAAGGTTTATAAACTCAAAGGTAAGGCATATACCAATTCTACACTAAAGAGATTTTCTATATCTAGCTCTAGCTTTCCTTGTATAGAGATACATTATACATCTAAATTTGAAGAATTTTATTTGTATATGTTCATGTACACTAGATTGACTACGAGTGTACGCACAATCCATGGTCTCCAACCATAAAGCTAGACACAAATGAGTTCAACTTTAAGGAAAATGACGCCATAGAAGAAATTGCAAATTTGGTCCCACTTATTTTCGCGAGTATCACATTTGGTACAAAAAGGTCTATTTTTTGTCTTTTTATTTTTTTTTCATTACTAAAATTGTCTCAGCCATTAGATTGACCATTAGTCAATGTCCACAGCTAAAAAGGAAGAGATCAAATTTTGGGACCAAATTTGCATTTTTCACAGGAGTGGGACTAAATTTGTATTCTAAAAGAAAAAAAAAATGAGTTCTTCAAGTTTGTCTAAAAAATATTTATTAGTTATTCTTCTTCGTCTCCCGTCAAAATCCCCTGTTCCTCTCCTATACCCTAATCTACGTCGTCGGCATATTGTGCCTCTCTCAGCGGCCCACCGGCTAGCCGGTGGACAGCTCTTTGTAGGGCGTCCAAGCTATTACGCGGTGCTATTCTTCTTTGTCTCACGCGCCGAGGGTTGTGGATGGTGGTTTTCGGCGGATTTCTTAGATATTTGCTTGAAGGTTGTCGGAGCTTCTGGATGGCGAGGCTGGGTGGAGTGTGGCAGCAGCGGCTGGACGCGGCTCAGGTTGCTTGTATCATCCTTGTTCGGGAGTTTCCTCTCATCTGCTTCTGCCAACGGCCTCGTCTCATGTTCTGTTGGTATGCAGGTGTCGATTCTGGGTCTCTACTCGATGGCACTCTGGTGTGGCAACGGATGGGCCGGGGTTCATTTTCGGGGGCTGGGAGGGGAGCTCGGGTTCGTGAGGACTGTGGCGGAGTAACCGGAGCTTTGATGTCGATTTGTGTCCCTTCTCCCCTGTTCTCTAGTGCTGAGTCCGGGGGAGGACCAATGTTGCTGGAATGGCTAGTGGTGTTAGCCATTTTCGCGACGTCGGTGGGTTGGGAAGAGTCGGCATCTTTTCAGCTGGAAAGCGGGTCGGTTCTTTGATTGATTCGGGATGTGAGTCTTCGTCTGGTAACGCAAAACACTCCGACCGGCCTGAAATCAATTCGCCTTCCTCTTCCTTGCCGGTAGAACGCCGCGCACCTGTACAGAACTCTCACACCGGAGGGGTTTTCCGGTGAAGAGCCTCCGATGCTTAAGTCAGTATGTGTTTGTTCAATTTTCCAAAGTAAAGAATGGATAAATCGTCCCTCACAGGAAAAGACCCACTCCCATATATATAGGAGTGAGATACCTGCCCTAGGAGCTGCCCGGATTTTGGTGAGTTGTCCTGCCCGTACTGCCCGTCCGTACACACATAGTGTGCGTGTGTCAGAGATGTCAGAGGTGGTTATCGCCACTATCGCTCTGCACCAATGTATTCTTGCCACGTGTCCCTCTGAGCTGAGGGAGATTATTCTTCTGCGCAGGCCGTTAGGATCTTCTAACGCCACCTACGCGCTTTCTTGCGTTCAAGCCACGCTCTCGACTGCTCTCCTCCTGCTGGGTGCTCGATCTGATCGAGCCCCCTCATCGCTAGGTCGATCCTCGACCAGTTCTGCTATTCTGCTCAATCTCTTCCCTTTTGGTCGATCATCCTTCGACCAATGCGGTTTTCTCTACTTCGAGCTTGCCCGACCTATGCGGTAAGCCGGTATTCCTTAGTCAGATAATGTCCCATATCATCTAGTCCCCCCCCCCCCCCCCCACTCTGGTCGAGTCCGAATGACTCGATCTAAGAGTGAATTCGAGCTGTCTTCTCCACTCTGTCAACCTCTCGATCTCCTACTTGCATCTAGCCTCCTTTTATTTCCTTTTGTTACCAGCGTGATTTCCACCTGCCACATGTCCTCTCAACTCTGTACTTTTAATCATCGTGCCTCCTCGCGATTTGCGCCGCTTCGCTATCTGTGCCTCATTCATTTCTTCTCACTGTTGGATCCTCTTTTATCTAACGGCTATCTCCATTAACTTTTCACTTTATTCCTCTGCGCACCTATAAATACGACACTTAGCAGATTTTCGGGCTTTTCTCACTTTTGCAAATCTTGAGCACCCTTGTGCCCCACTTTCTTCCTCTGCAAATTGTTCTTCCCTGCTCTTGGTGTCTCCTCTCTTAGCAATTTCTGGCAACCGCTCTCCACTGCAACCATGAGTAAGTCTCTTATGCTTTAATTTTGTGTTCGCATGCGTTTATTTTATCGATTTGTGGTTTTTTCCTTGTTGCTTCTTATTTTCCTCGAGACCTTCTCGTTTCCTCTGTGGAAAATTCCCCTTTCTTCACCATTCGAAACCCTAACTTTTCTTCTTCCCTCGCAATTTTCCTTTCTACTTTTCAGATTTCGTCAATTCTAATACGCAAAGCCATCACTCTAGTGAAGATGAGATCGCCACGTCATCATTCCCCGCTCATCGGCCTATTCCTCACTCGCCTTCCCGTTCTGTCGAAGAGATCTACAATCCCACTCCTCTCAACGTTTTTCGCCCTTCCGATTATGCCACACCTTCTCCTCCTCGCCAATCTACTCGTCTGATTGATGCATCAGACGAGGAATCCCTTGACCACATCCCCCTCAATCGCCGTCGGCCGGCGTTTGGGGCTTCTGACGCTGCAGAAGAGGCTCTAGATGCTGCTGAGGAGGATGAAGATAATACTCCCCTTTCTCACCATTCCGTTTTTGCTAGAGTTGTTCCTCCCTCTAATCTTCAGAAAAGTGCTCCAAAATCCTCGACCGCTACCGCACCTCGTGCATCTCCGGCTGTCCCTGTCTCTACCTCACCTAAGGCTGCTCCGAAGAAGGGTAAGTCGACCAGAGTATCTTCTTCTTCTAAGAAGAGTTCTTCCTCCTCTCGTTCTCTCATAGCTGGCTGGTTGGATGCCGAAGAAGTTGGCTATCCTGCCAACTGGGCTTTCGTATCTCCAGGCCCCCGAGATACCTATGACAACCCTCCCCAAAACTGCTACACTTTCTTTGAGATTCAATTTAAACTCGTCATCCGTTTTCCCTTAAGCCAAGATTTGGTCGATCTTTGTAAGTGGTTCGACCTACCCTTGAACCAACTTCCGCCTAACGCCATCGGCTTTATCACTGTCTTCATCATCCTCTGCCACATCCGTCTAGGTCGGCTCGACCTAGATTTCTTTCATTACTGCTATACACCCTCAAAACATGCTCAGAGGATCTACCTCAAGAGCCGCAACGATGTCCATTTCATTTCAGACACTCCCTCAAACGTCCCCAAGTGGAAAGACAAAAAAGGCCTTTGTCGAGCCCAAACCCGCTTTCCCTTGGGCGCCATCTCCTTGGCTCAAGGAACTCCCGCGTGAGTACTCAATACCTTCAACCAACGCGCTCTTCGACCAGCGGATTGCGATATGGAATAGCAAACCCGTTGCGTCGAAGACCTTGCTCGAGGATGAGGACCTCCTGCATTTTTGTGGGCTTCTTACCCACAAATCATGTCCTCTCCCTAGTCAGAAAACCTTTGATCTTATCCGGATCGAGGACGACCCAGGTATGTATTGTCGCTGAATAAGCTCGAGCATCACCATATTTGTCTCACATATTATGTACCTATTGCGGCTTTAACTTGTGCGTAAATTTTTTGCAGAGATGCCCGCTATTTACGTGCCTAGGAAGAAAGCTCCCTTGAGAAAGAAACCAGCTGTCGAGGGGTCAAGCTCAAGACCTGCTGACTCGACCACCTCACAGTCCGTACGCTCAACCTCGCCTCCTCCTGACGTAACCGTCGAACAACCATCTTCGATCAACCCTCCAGCTGACCAGCCAATCGAGCAACCAGAACAGCTCGAGAAGCCATCCTCTCCTCCGCCGCGCTCTCCGTCTTACGACCAGACCACTCCGATTATCCACATCCCTGCTTCTCCCGAGCGGACTCAGCTCGAGGAGAATCCACTTAAGCGTCCCTCTGTCGAGGGGGATGAAAATGTCCGCAAGCGTCGCCGTGTCGAGGAGACTGCGTTGTCAATCACCACGCTCGATGGCGTGGGATTCTCGCATTTCCTTCGGGATGTTCTGCCTCCAGTCTACCATCCTACCGACCGTTATAACGACGGTCACACCCTTCGAGATGGAGGCCATCAGCTTGCCCGCTGGCTGGCTCAGGTAACCTACTATCACTTGACACTTATCTAATTTATTCCATTTCCTCCCCTCGTTAGTGTTCTAACACTTTCTGTTATGTGCCTTTGTAGGGAATGGTCGAGCTCGCGCCGCTGATCGAGCAGACGTTAGCGAGCCCGAGTCGGTCCATCTCAGCCATCGAGCGAAGCAATTTCCAGCTTGGCACTCGGCTGGATGAGATAGTCATCAAGGCCAATGCCCTTCACAAAAGGCTGAAGGAGTCGGACGCCCGAAATAAGGCCCTCTCCGCTGAGAAGGAGACGCTCGAGGGGGCCCTAAAATCCTTCGAGGAGGCCCTCGTGGCCGAGCGAGCGGAGAAAGAGGCCCTTCTGGCCTCCAAAAAAGCTCTCGAGGCTGCGCTCGAGGAGGAGAAGTGAGCTCGGGCACGTGAAAACGTTGCTTTCGAGCAAAGGGCTAAGCCTTTGGTCGACGAGGCTGCACTTCGGGCTCCGCGAATGGTCTTCCACACGACCGCCGGTCGACGCTTCCTACAAGCTT